TTTTAACTGGTAAATAACACGTTCAAAATGGGAATAATCAAAGTCAAATTGAAAACAAACAAATTCAGTTTGGAACTAATCAACTTCAATTTGGAATTTTCACTGAAATTGTAATTCAAACTGTCATATGTTTTGCAAGTCGAACGGCAGTCAGATTTAAACTTTATATTAAATTAATTAAAATTAAAATGCCTTAAGCCGGTCACAGACCTGACGAACGTTTTCATTCGTTACCGTTGCCATCAACTGCAGCCGCTCGAAGTTTTTCTCGAAACGCGAACGAACGTTTCTAGGGGCTTCCCTAGATATACGAGCAATTTCTAGCGTTTGTGGCGGTTTGCAGTCGTACTGTATACGTGTAGCCTATATAATGATATGATATTTACATAGATTTTCCATACTTTGTTACATTATAATATAATAGTCACATAAAAATGTTTGATAATAACAATAATTAATAAAACGAGTATATAATACTCGTAGGGTTATTAACTGCTATCGATCATATACACCACACTGCGTTAACAGTGACTGTTAACAACTGAATAAAGCTACAATTTTAGCTCTGTCATTGGGAATTATTTCAGCAAATTGATGTTTTGTTTTTAAAATTCGTATACCGCATTTTCATTTCAAACAGATACACTCGAGTGAACCCAAGTGAATCCGATTGCCCCTCCCCAGATGCCCCTCCCCAGATGCCCCTTCCCAGATGCATTGTAAGCAGATTACCGGCGTAGGCGACGATTCCGTTTTGTTTTGCTTTTGCTAGTGTGTATTTCGAGCGTTTTAACATAAATTAATTTCTTTTATTTAAAATTATAAGTTATAATGTTCTACGCAATTTGTGGGAACGTTTGAAAATAGGCTTTGAATAAATTATTCAAAGGTTCTGTTCAAATAATAATTTATTATTTTTATTATTTAATGAATTTATTTATTTACATTTATTTTAAGAAGTTTGGTTTTAAGAGAATTGATTTATTTATTTTAATTTGTTTTCAAGAGAAACATTTTATTTTAGTTTTTAAAGAGAATTTTTTATATTTAAACGTTTTTTTATAAGAAACCTTTAATTAATAATTTACTGTTAAAAGTGATTACGTTACATTTTAAGTATTTGAATCATTTTTAAAAGTAAATTAACTTGATAATGCGTGATTCGTATTAATAATCCAGAGCAAACTTTGACATCACCCAACGCCATTCTTTTTCCAAGACTTTTTTAAAATCAATGTAATATTTATTTTAATATTAAAATATATATGTAGGTAGGTTATAGATTTAAAGGTAATTTCCAAAGACATATATAAAAAACAATAAATACTAATGGAATATGATCAATATTATATATGTTATGGCTAATGTGCAAACTTGGATAGTTTATAAACTAGCTGGATAGTTTATAAACTAGCCAAACTGTCAGCTATTTTAATTGAAATCATATTTTCAACTAAATTAGCGGCTAGTTTACAAAATAACCAAGGATCTTGGCTAATTTACTTGAAATTATTAGGGAAACTAAAATAGCTGGATAGTTTGTATACTATCCAATTCAGTTTGGCTAATATGAAAACCAAAATTTCTAGTAACACAAAATAGCCAAGCTTTAGCTAGTTTGTAAACTAACCAACCAATTCTCTAGCTAATTTATTAAAAAAGTGAGGTTACGGCATTGTTTTGCCGGCTTAACCGGATTTGTTTTGTACATTTTAACGTTTTTAAAATGAATCATAGGCAAAATTTTAACGCTTCCTTGTTAGAAAACTCAACAACACAACCCTACCGACCCCGCCCCATTGGTCAAATGGTCAAATATGAGAGAAAAAAACCCAAACCAACCCAAACTCAACAACACAACCCAACCGACCCCGCCCCATTGAGCAAAAAACTCAACTAAAATGGGCAATAGCCAGAGAATTAGTTGGTTAGTTTACAAACCAGCTAAAGCTTGGCTATTTTGTGTTACTAGAAATTTTGGTTTTCATATTAGCCAAATTGAATTGGATAGTATACAAACTATCCAGCTATTTAGTTTCCCTAATAATTTCAAGTAAATTAGCCAAGATCCTTGGTTATTTTGTAAACTAGCCGCTAATTTAGTTGAAAATACATTTTCAATTAAAATAGCTGACAGTTTGGCTAGTTTATAAACTATCCAGCTAGTTTATAAACTATCCAAGTTTGCACATTAGCCGTAACATATATAATATGATCAATATTATATATAACCATATTATTATTATGTAAATATTTAAAAATTATATATTTCATATTTATATTTTATATTACATTGATTTCAAAAAAGCCTTAAGAAGAGTAAGATCCTGCTATAAAAACCTAAATTTCCCTTTCATTAATAGACAAATGTTGAAAATAAATATTTATTAAACAAATATATTATAATTTAAATTAAATAAAATTAAAATAAAGGTACCTAGGTTTTAAGAAAATGTATAAATCATAGAAATAGTACATAATAAGTTTGTAATAAATAAACATGTGCATGAGGGAATGAATAAAGCAAAATATATTTATGATATTATTCCTATAAATGGTTAATTATTACACATGTGAGTACACTACCCCAATGGATTTTGAGCCGCTGAAACCGAATCGAGTCCCAGAGATTCCCCTGGATCCACCAGATTTTCCCTAGCCTAAGGGAAATGCGTGAAATCTTGATATTGGTTTCACGTATCTCGAGTCGCTTATTTAGAATCTCACTGTAAAATTTCCCTAGAGTTCCTCAGAATTCCACTAGCCTAGGGGAAAAAATGTTAAGCTGAGCAAAACTTGCGATTTCTGGAAGGTTGTATTTTTGCGCAAGAAAGCTTATATATTTTCGTATTTTAAGTTCCTGAATTCATATCCGACGTGAAAAATGTTCCACAGTACTTCAGAATTTTTCTAGCCTAAGGAAAAACGTAGAAAATTGTGCATAAATCGAAATTTTATGCAGGCCTTTTTTGTATGGGAAAGCTGATGCCGTGTTTATTTCTGTCATCAGAATTTTTATCCAGCTCCTTACAATTGCCCTAGCCTACAAAAAATGTGTATAGATAAGGAAACTTTAAAATCGACAATTATAAATAGTAAAAAACATATAAAAATTTTAAGAACAATTCCCTGAAAATCTTGGTGATTACAGTTAGGAACAAGGAAAACGTTTCCACCAGGATATCAAAGAAATGGAGCGACATTATCAGGGACGATGGGATAAACACATGATGACAGATTTTTGCTGGTTGTTGAAGAGGGATGTTGTAGGTGAAAGCAAAAAAGAAAGAAGAATCCACTCTGTCGGACGTTTGACGATAAAAGAACAAGGAAAAGACAAACGAACTAATATCATGGAATTTTTCGTAGGCTATGGAAATTGTGAGGAGCTGGATAAAAATTCTGATGACAGAAATGAACACGGCAACTCAGAAGACGAAAATATATTAGCTTTCCTGTACGAAAAAGGCCTGCATGGAACTTCGATTTTTGCACAATTTTTTACGTTTTTCCCTAGGCTAGGGAAATTCTGAAGTACTGTGGAACATTTTTCACGTTAGATATGAATTCAGGAACTCAAAATACGAAAATATATAAGCTTTCTTTCGCAAAAATATAACCTTCCAAAAATCGCAAGTTTTGCTCAGCTTAACACTCTTTTCCCTAGGCTAGTGGACTTCTGAGGTACTCAGGATACTAGGGAAATTCTACAGTGAGATTTAAACTAAGCGACTCGAGATACGTGAAAACATTATAGTTTTATTTAATATTGCGTAGATAAAAATTGGTTTCACAGATACTGAAATTTCTAAGATTTCAAGCATTTCCCCAAGGCTAGGGGAAAACTGGGGGGTCCAGGGACCGGATTCGGTTTCAGCGGCTCAAAATCCATAGGGGTAGTGTACTTACATGTAAATTTCATTACACTTTTTTGTTTTTGTGGGCCTGTGTTATTATTATTACATATTTAAAAAGTGACAATTTTCTTTAAAGAATCCTGCATATTAAGGTCAAAAGTTTTTATGACTTATTTATTTTCATATGTAGTATAAAAAAACTAGTACCTACTAACTATTATTTATTAAAAAAAAAATTATTACCTACAGAGTTTTCCCTTCTTGTTTAAACTTTTTATTAGGTAGTCCAGTAGCTTAAGTTTATGGTACATGATAAAAAAATCCAGTTAGTACTTATTTTATACTAAAAATCGTTCTTACCTCTTTTTAAACAATTTCAAAACTTTTTAGTAAGAAAAAAGAAAAAAATTGCTACAAAAATATATTTATAAGAAATCTTGCTTACCAAAGAAGTTTTACCTTCTTATTTTAAAATTAAACAATATATATATATACGTATATATAAAATGACTTGTCAAAATTTTCAATAAATTTGTTCCATACTTTTGCCGGTCACTGCATAATACTATAGTAGTACTACTAGTGGTAAAATTTGTGGTTTTGAATTAATGCAAGGGGCGAAATTTATAACCAAAAAAACCAATTAAAAAAAAATTGGATAATTTCTTGACAGTTCTAACAGCCATGTTGTTATTTTTTGTTATGTGACACAAATCACCCAATTATTTTAACTCCTTGATTGGAAATCGAACTCGTGACGCTTGGGTGGGAGGCTGATAAAATTAAAACATTTTTTTAATATAAATTATTTATCGTTTATGTCCTGAAAGAAGTTAACAAAAATGATTATAACTTTAACCTTAAAAGGAGCAATATTTGGACAAAGGTTCAACTTTTTTAGTTAATATAATTTTCTGCTACTAAAACGTAAGCGTTAACACTGCAAAGTTAAAGGATTAACAAATTAGTGTTTTTTCCTTTGCAAATTACACTTTTTAAGTTTTGCTTGATGTCGGGAAACCCTGTAATAATGATTTTAAATATTTAAAACTTTTTAATGTCATGACCCAGGAATATCGCCTTCCTTAATCCAGGGCTTTATATACAATTCCATCGTAATGTACTAATTTCTTTTATTTTTAGGTTTATCAAGAAGTATTTCCTTTAAAAATAATTATAATTATGCCAGCCAGATAATAAAAAAGTCGCATTATTTAAATAATTATGCTAAATGTAATGTATTTTATATGGAATCTTTAAAGCGAAACTATTCAGATAACAAAAGTCCCATGGAAAAACCTTCAACTAGTCAAAAACTTAAAAAAGCAGTAACCGAATACGGAACTACAGTAATTGTTTTTCATGTAGGAATATCGCTAATCTCCCTCGGAACCAGTTATTTATTAGTATCTAGGTATGTATATATATATAAATGCAGTATATTATATTACAAACAAATAATATATATATTATACAATATAATTTTGGTTATATAAAACTGTTCAAATAAAAAACTTTACTAAGGGATTTGTGTTGGGTAACCATTTGTACAGTAATTTTAAAGGAAGTACGGTATACGGTCCAAACCTTATGCAAATGTACGATAAATTTAAATAAATAAATAAATATTATATATTTGATGTTTTACCACATTTTTACTATACATTTTATTCGGACCACCTCAATCTCTGGTAAATTTCCAGTTATTTTCTCTGACAAATAAACTAACTAAGTTAAGCGGATCATTGATAAACCTGACCTTAAAAAAATATTTTTTTAAATTGTTTGTAGTATTATTCTATAATAATCATCCAAATATGTTTTTATACATTGCTGTTCCTTCCAATTTACGAAACAATTTTGACACCTTTGATTATAAACAATTATATAAATAACTATTTAAAACTATCTTAAATAAAACACCACTGTAATGTTATGTCCATTATTTTGTCATTTTGTAATTTCATCCATTCTAAAAAATATTTTCGTATAATTGGGAAACAAACGACCAAGTTTGAGCCTAATCCGCCCGGGCATTTTAAAATAAAGTTATTTCCCTGCTGAAAAAACAGGCATGGGCGGAAGTAAATTCCGGATAAAATATAAGTCAAAACCGGACGAAAGCAGATGAAAATCTCATCAACCTATACCTGTGTTATGCCCGCTTTGCTATATCCGCGTACATCCGGTTTAACCTGTTTTTCGTCCGATTAGTGAACCATCAGTCATCTGCCATCATCCGGTTTTGAATGTCTTTACAAACATTTTGTTCATTTTCTATTGTTCCGGTTTTATCCGAACTTCGGTTTTCGTCTGGTTTTATAAGCGCTTACCTGCAATTTGTTTGTCTCTTTTCGTCTGCCTTCATCCGCACTTGCCTGCTTTTCGTTTATCGGCTTTCGTCCGGATTGATCCGCAAATGTCTGCTACATCTGTGAACGTCCGGTTTTACTTGTTTTTCATCCGGTTAGTGCATCGTAAATCATCCGCAATCATCTGGTTTTTCTGGCTGTACAAACTTTTTGTTCATGTCTGCAAACCTCGGTTTTAGTCTGGTTTCATTCGCGCTTGCCTGATTTTTTGTTCGTCGGCTTTCGTCCGGATTGAACCGCCAATAATTGCTACATAAGCAAACGTCTGTTTTTGTCTGGTTTCATCCGCGCTTGCCTGCAATTTGTTTGTCCTTTTTTGTTTCTTTTTATCCGCAAATGGCTGCTACATCCGCAAGCATCCTGTGCACCACCGTCAATTATCCGCAATTACCGGCTTTTGCCTGCAATTAGTTTTATGCCTGCTTCTGGTTTTACCTGCAAACATTTGTTTTAGTCCTTTTATTTTAACTATGCAACAAAATAGATCTACCAGCTAAGACTACACTGGACTAGACTTGACTTCAGTCTCTATAGTAACACCAGTGCATAGATATAACGCTTCTTATAAATACATTTTCTTTTTAAAACAGCGGTATTAACCTGATTTACGTACCAGTGTTGTCTCCAAAGTAAATGTTTAACACACTTGCCTTTGCTTATAAATCCTTTTCCTTGAAAAACCGCGGGGAAATGTATATTAAGTGCGCGCGCAAATTGAATACACCTTCTTTCGTTAATAATCCTTAATCATTTGATTTTGCCTGCATTTGGTTTTATGCCTGCCTTCATCTGGTTTCATTCGCAAATGCCTGCTACATCCGCGAAGGTCCGGTATTACCTGTTTTTCGTCCTATAGTTAATCATCCGCAATCATCCGATCCTGTCTGGTTGTACATTCATTTCGCTTTTGTCTGCATTGATCTGGTTTCATCTGCAAATGTATAAATTTGGCCGGTTTTGTCCGCGATTGCCTGCCTGCATTTCGTTCTATGTTTGCATTCATACGGTTTTATACGCAAATGTCTGCATTTGGTTTTATGTCTGCATTCATCCGGTTTTATCCGAAAATATCGATTTCGTCCTGTTAAATTTGGGTTTTTCATGCCCGTCCAACAGCAGTATCGCATGAGATTATTAAACATTCTAGTCATTACTACATGTCCTCCTGTAGGAGGTAGGTAAAAGTCATTTAAAATAAACGGTTTCGTCTCTTTGTCGTTAACTTTTTGTAATCCCCGAATAAACGAAGTCCTTAGACGAATCCTATAATAAAATTTAATTATATTTATAGTGCACTGCTCTTTAATAATAAATACTTCCGGAATATTATAATTAATGCAAATATATCGAACGATTTACACCATTAGGGCATAACTAAAAATATTTGTTTGTTTCTGATTAAATGAAAATTTGAATTCATAATAAACCGTCTGGTGCTACATTGTCTGTCCCTTTTAAGTCTTCGATTGTAAAATCGTATTCTTAAAGTATGAGTCGGAATTTGGTTAGTCTAGAGGATGGGTTAGTCATGCCAAAGAGATAAATTAATGGGAGATGGTCTGTTTTGATTTGGAATTTTCGTCAGTACAGGTAAGGTCTAAAATGTTTATCACCCCATAATAATAATTGTTTTATAATGGAACAGTAATTTTGTTTGTCTTTTTTCAATGCTCTATTCGCTTACGCTATTGGTTGTCGTTGTCATTACAAATTACTGCCCCCATTGCAAAACCTGAGGCATCGGTCTTTAAGATAAAGAAATTTGGATACTGCAGTACCGATGGATTAAAAGCATGTCTATAGCTAATGCGCATTCTTCTGACCAATGAAATGGTACATGTTTTCGACTTAATTTATGTAATGGATTTGCGATTACTGCAAAATTCGTTATATATTTGCGATAATAATTTTCAAACGCAACAAATCGTTTCACTGCTTGCGCATCTTGTGGTACTGGGTAATTTTCTAAAACATTTTGTAGAATCTCTTAGCAGAAATAACATGTTCGAGATAAAGTATTTCTTCCTTTAAAAATTTGCATTTATGAAGATTTAGTTTTAAATTAGTTGATCTTAATCTATCTAAAACTTTAGTTAAATTTTGATTGTGACTTGAGAAATTAATTCCAAAAACAAATCGTCTAGATACAAAAAGCATCTAGAGATATTTAAACCTGAAAGTTCTACGGTCATTGCACGTGAGAAAGAGCTAGGACTAATTTGCTCATTTGATACTGTGCCTGAGGAGTGGATAATGCTGTGCAAGGGGTACTATTAGGTTCAAGTCCTATTTGGTAGTAGCCATTAGATAAATTAAGATGACTGAAATAAACAGCACCTGATAAGGAATCTAAACTTTCTGCACTACAAGGCAATGAAAATGTATCATCCTTGATTTGAAGATTTAAGAGTCTGTAATCTATTACCAATCTCCACTTTTTAACTCGAAAGGCGCAGCCCAAGGCGATATGATGTCTTCAATACTATTATAGTATTATTTTTAAGCATATCGTCTAATTGTCACTGTCCTTTTGTGAATGTGGCAGACGATAAGGTTTTATATAAGCAGGTGTTGCTGACTCGTAAAATCTAATAGACTGTTTATTCTTAGCGCAAATTTTCTGCAGTTCATTTTGATTTTCGGATTTAACTTGTCTACTTGAATTCATTTTAACAATTTTTCTACCATTTGAACCGATCGACATTGTCTTTATTCAATGAAATATTCCCCAATCCCTCGGAAAATACCATTCTTAAGAATAATGAATTTATGCTATTTTTGTTTGTTTGTACGTAATAATATTGAAAGGTCCGCATCGTCATCCTCGGCTTGCAAAATATTTAAATACAAGTACTAACAATTCATCAACGCTTTTCCTGTAATTTTCTATCGATCTGTTTCTCTGTTTTGCGTTACCTAACTAAACGGAAAATGAAGTCGCGGATAGTTTCGGTAGCAAATTTTTGTTAATGTCCTCAATTAAGCCCATCTTCGAGCCGTAACGAAATTTTAACCTTAATTTCGCACTAACTGACAATATGATTTTTAGTCCGTTAGAAAAACTTTACCAGCATCCTTGAGCAAGGCATCATAAAACTTAATGGCTTCTGTACCGTCCATACTTGAAACTAGGGTAGCTGCTGTTTTAATATAAAATTAGTCTGACATGGTGACAATTTGTTGTAAATTTAAACTAATATTATAGTTTATTTCTAAAACTTCTGCAAGTTTGCATCTATTATCTAAAAAGAATCGTTACTTTTCATTTAACTTTATCTATATTAGCAGACATATGGTATTTCATATCATATTAATTTCTAAGAATGTCAAAGTTTTATATTATATTATATTATACATTTAACACTAAATCCATAAAATAACCAACCAAAATATTATTATTAATATTAATTCTTGCGTAACCTGGGCTAACTCCTCAACGCTCTTGTTCATCCCTTTTCTGGCAGTGTGCTGCATTCTTCAAATGCATCTTTTGACCCAAAAACCTAAGGCATGTTATATTTGGGTTTTTAACAGTATATATTTATTCACTCTTTATTACTTATTTGGGTTCTTTGGAAAAAATGATCACCCGCAATATTACAATATTATTAACCTACTTAGTGTTCGAGAACTGTGATCCGCAGACTTGCAATATAGTTTTACCCGACTGCCATCGTAATTTTTTGCAATATACAAAATTAATTTCTAAATTTTTTGTAAAATAATAAATTAAAAATATAAAATTGTTAATCTTATCTCTTGGATACTATTTTAGTCCAATTTCGTCTGACTTCCGAGTTTGCTTGCATTTCGTTCTATGTCTGCCATCATACAATTTTTATCTGCAAATAAAGGCATTTGGTTTTATATCTGCGTTCATCCGGGTTTTTTCGCAAATGTCTGTTTTCCCTGCTTAAAATACCCCATAGAGACCCATTAAAATAATTTATCGGGCGCTAACGGGCTCAATATGTGCATTTGTCCATGTTTTTTTTTCGGATACAGCCCGATAGAACATTTATAGGGAATTAGCTATAGGAAC